CAACAACAGCAACAGCAACAGCAAGCTCGTCAACAGACTCAGCAACAGTTGCAACAACAGCTGCATGCTACTCATTCTCCACTGATGTCGAATCAGTTGCAGAGACCCAATGATACGAACGATTTGATTCAATCCCTTCTCAATGAGAGGAATAAGAACAAAAGTAATCAGAACATTTCTATTCAGCAAGGCCCTCCTCCTAACCAGGGATTCTCTCCAGCTGAAGTATTTTCACCCTCAACGCAAAGCCAAACAATACCTCCTCCTATTACTCAACAAGATGGTTGGCCAGTGCCACAACAACAACAGCAACAGCAACAGCAACAGCAACAGCAGCAACAACAACAACAACAACAGCAGCAGCAACAGCAGAGACAACGCGGCATCCAAAATAATGTCCAACAACAGTTCAATCAAGGAATGCCAATAGATAAGGCAGCTATGATTGCAGCTCTCCAGCAGCGGAACCAAAATCAACATAGACAACAGCAGTTTCAACAGCAACAAATGATGATGCAACAGCAACAGCAACAGCAGCAGCAGCAAGTCCAACAGGCTCAACAGGCTCAACAGGCTCAACAGGCTCAACAGGCTCAACAGGCTCAACAGAATCAGCAGTCACCTAATCAACACCACACTCAGTTGAATCCACAGATGTCGCCAAACTTGTCCGGTCAAACACCTCAACAGCAACAACAACAGCAGCAACAGATGTTTCAACAATTGCAACAACAACAGGCTTTAAGACTACGCCAGTTGCAACAAAGACAAAGGCAGCAGCAACAGCAGCAACAACAACAACAGACTCAGCAACAACAACAGACGCAACAGACGCAACAAACGCAACAGACTCAGCAACAAGTTCAACAGCAAACCCAACAGCAAGTTCAACAGCAGCCTCATTCTCAATCTGGCTCGGTTCCTCCAACTCCACAAGAGATCCAGAATGGTGTTAGGTCGCCAATGGTTCAAAACCAGTTCAATATGCCATTTTCTAGTAACCAAGCTACTAGAAATGGTACTCCAAATCAGAATTTAAACCAGAGACCTTCTCCTCAAGCTCAGAAACAAAACGTTTCAGGACCACCGACACCCGTACAGGCATCGCAACAGGCACAAACACCACAGGTGCAGAATAATAACCAGCCGAGTGCTGAACAAAGGCGTTTGAATCAACAGCTCAGTTCGATTCAGGTTGACCTCTTCATGAAAACACTTACTGATTATATGAGAGCTAGGGGAACCCCAATTAACACTATTCCTGTTGTTGGTGGAAGAAGACTTCATCCATTCTTCCTTTATGCAATTGTTGCAAGATGGGGTGGTTCCGCTAATGTGTCGAGACAAAATCAATGGGGTCTTGTTGGGCAAAAATTGGGTTTAAATGTCGATCAGAACCCTCAATTAATTAGAGATTTGACAAAGGTTTACGTTGATTATCTTTATCCATTTGAGCAATATGCGTCTACTCCAGAAGGTCAAAGAGATTTGCAAAGTAGAAGACAGTTATTGCAGAAACAACAAGAGGCTATTTTACGCCAGAGACAACAAGAACAACAAGCTCCATCTGCTCCTGCTCCTGCTCCTGCTCCTGCTGTTGCTCCTACTCCTGCTCCTGCTGCTGCCAGTGCGCCATCCCCTGTCATCCAGCAGTCACCAGCTCAACAGCATCTGCCAACGCCGTCTAATTCAGCTCCTCAGGTTGCTCAAGTTCTTCAGCCACAGCAAAACATAGTTGTTCCTGCCCAACAAAAGCAGCAACCTGTTTCTCAGCATACAAGTCAACCACCAACGCCAATGGCTCAACCTCCGCGACCTGTCTCTAGAGACGCTACTTCTCCATTCGCCCAGCCTGGTGCCAGAGTTAGTGTATCTCAGCAAGGAGGCTCAAAGAATAACTCACCGTTGGTGTCCAACACTAATGTGAGTCCTTCAGTTATCTCTAGACCACCATCAGAGACTAATGTTCCTACCCAAGTTGAATCTCCTCCAATTCTTCCGCCTAACATCATCAGAAATTACATCCCAGAGCATAGAATTGTTGACTACCATGGTGGATTCGATATCAAGGTGTTATCTCAAGTTGGTGAACAAATTGATACGGCAAAGCCAATATTTTTGTTCGCACCGGAACTGGGTGCTATTAACATACATGCTTTGACAATGAGCCTAGAATCTGGTTGTATTTCTGAGGTTAATACTGCTTTGAACACTATTCTAGTGACATCTGCTGATAATGGTTTGACCATACCGTTGCCTGAATGTCCTGAATTTTTGGATGCTATAACAACACTCGGCTTGCGTGTTTTGGATCAACTATTAAAAGGTACTAATGATAGAATTAAGGCTGGTGCGGATGATATCGATATTGAAATTATAACCCCTCAGGCATCATCAAACATTGACGAAGTCTTCTCCAAATACGTGAAGGATGATGAAGAATATGACGAAACCGAAATTCGGATAGACTCTTTTAGTGGTGAACCCATTGAAGAGACTGAAGACTCCATTGACGTTGAATCTGTACCGGATACAGTGGCTATGGATATGGATGAACCAGAATCCAATGGGGTTTCTAGACAAGAAGTATCTTCTATGCCACCTAATTTTAACATTCCAGAGAAGTTTGAAATCCCATCTTACTTTGAAATGTTGACTGCCGTTCGTTCAGAAACAGAAGATCCGTTCAGCACAATCCATGTGAGGACTGCAGAGGACCCTCAGGTATTACTCATCGATCAGCTTACAACCATATCAATGATTCTCAGAAACATCTCATTCACAGATTACAACTCCAAGGCACTTGCGATGAATGAGAATGTAAAAGATCTATTATTCAGAATCATACACGCTATTGCAACTAATGGAGATAAATTTATCTTCACTAGACGCAGACTTGGTTTCTTGAAGGATAGTTTGATTATCCTCACAAATATATCGCACTTGCTTGAGCTCAGATCCCATAATGAAGCTTTATGTGCATTGGCTCTTGTCTTAACCTTTGGCAGTGATCCTCAAACAGATGAAACTATGTTAATCCCAGACTATGTTCCATCCACCCACAAATATCTCTCTCATGGTGTTGATGTGCTCACAAAACTTTTGGTTAGAGATCCTCCTAATAGATCACTATTCCAAGCAGTTATGACTGGTATCTATGACTCGTCGGTCCATCCACTTGTTGTTGAAGAGAATAAGAAGTTAGTGGCCTTGTACACTGGAGACCAAGGAGAATTTTTCCTTATTTCAAGGGTGTTCAAGTATTTGTTGTCTGTGATTCCATTCAACTCTTTAGCTCTACATCCATTGTTGCAGGAGAGAGAGGCTGTCATTCTTCAGGCTCTTCTTTCAGCGTTGTTGGTTGTCGATATGGTCCCAACTGATCAATTGAAGCAAAATATGCCTTTGACTTGGTTGTGCAGTACGGAATCTATCGGTCATGGCTTAATTAGACTTGGTTTGCTATTAGCGCCATTTTCTGCTGAACCAAACAATAACGATGCATTGAAGCAAATTTCAAAGAGAGCATTGCTGTTGGTAAATGAACTCGCAGACAAAGCTCTACAACTGATTGAATTCTTGGGTAAAGAAGATGACAAGAACAAACTCAAAGACATCAAGCTACATCTCTCGCCTGACTCTATCCTCGGTTCAATGCTCAGCACAATTGACCCTATGATACTAGACCAAATTATGGCATTATACTCGCGTATTGAAAGAATCAACAAGAGTATTGAAAGTGTTGCTTAATCAAAACTATATATTTGATTTGTACTATTGTTTAAAATAATATGTTTTCCACCTTTTCAATCATCTTTGTAATTTGTTGTTAAATAATCATGAATTCTTCCTCCCAGATCTTCACCAACTATCTTTACAAGTTCGTGCCTGGTTAAGCTCATCAGCTTGTTGACGTCTTTGACTTTTCTCATGATGAGATAAAAGTCGACGTTAGTGATCCCTGGTATGCTTTGTAGCAAAGCAACAACATTTTTACCAAGTTGGATATTATCTCTTTGTTTGGCTTCGTCAAGTCCAGCATTCACAGCTTCCACAATATTTGGTTCTTCTCTCCCAGCTTTTAACTCAACCATAATCTCTGCAGTTTGGTATGGTGATGAGCTCCATAAGATCCTCATCGCTGGGAAGTTGATTACCAGTGCTGCGAGGTCCTTCTGTATTGACTCTTGCATCTTGTTCGACGATACTGGAAGCCTCTCCTTAATTCCTGGGCGACCTTGTCCTGAGAATGGCTCCAAAGAAAAACTTTGGTTGCTATCAAATTCAATGAGAAGTGCAGGATGTGCATAGTATTTAGACATACGTGCACACTGCTCGTAGAGACGACCACTAGCCAAACTGCTCATCAAATCCGGGATCGACTTTCTCTCAACACACACCTGAGGAGTCAAAATGTAATCACCAACTGTCAATACACATGGGACGACTCTCAGTCCAGTTCGGTGTAGCAATCCAGGTAATGGTGCTCGAAATTCACGAGAATCTACCAGCACTGTAGACTCATCGTCTCGATCCTTGAACTTCGCACCACCCGCAATACGGGTATTTGGGATGGCCTTCCTTACCCTGTGTATTTTAAAATCTTCATCTGCTTCATATCTCACAGCCAAGGTGGATTTTTCTCTGATGAGTTTTGTAAAAGCATCTTTTTCTTTTCGTATTGCTGTTAGGTGGCTTTGTTCTTCTAATGAGTCTGAATAATACATGAAGAACGTTCTAGCAGGGTTCTCTTTATGCACAGATTGATAGACTTCAACTCTTCTTATGAATGCCAAATCTGGCTCATACATAACAATAAATGATGGCATAGTCTCTTGCAGTATTTGATCAACCGTGGTCTCTGTATAGGTTCCGATAATGACTTGATTTTCCCTTCCTATGTATGAATAGAATTTTCCAGGATCATTGATGCTCTCAATATCTTCTTGATCGCTGATGGCATCCAGTTCCTGATCCTCAGCAACCTCAAGGTCCATTAACTCCATCTCAACCTCTTCAGGTTTCATCTTAGATTCAATATCATCACCTTGTGTTGGTGCATTGTGTAAGCGACTCACCGCTGCCATAGCAGCACCACCTCTTGTTCTTCTTCTTTTCGTTACAACAGGGGTTTTTGCAAATGCTCTTGAGATTTGAATCTCATCCTCATTGTCTGCTGCTGCCTCCTGTATAGTAGTCGCCAGTCTCGACTTCAAATCTTTATTATCCAAATACATCTGTAACTTGTTCACCATAATCTTTCTAGCACTGAACGTTTTGTCTTTGGATTCTCTTATCGTTGCTATTACTCTAGTCAGTTGTCTTTTTACCTTTGTATCAGAACACATGATCAAAACTGGCCCATTTTTAGACGGATCGTGAGCTCTCTCATTTGAAGCATCGTCCAGTACTATAGCCAATTGCTCCCATTTAGGTGCTTGTTCTAATAAATATTCATCATTGTCAAACACCCTCTTTTTTGCAAACGTCACCACTGTTTGAGACTCTTCAGCCAATAGCCATGGAGACTCAGTTTGCCTTTTATCGATGGAAGGTCTATTTGCCTCTAGGACAAGTTGTATTTTCTCGTAAAAATCAACACAGTCGTACGATAAGAGACATTTAATAAGATCTTTGAGCAGTTTGATGTCTTTCACAAGCTGTTTTGAATCATATGAGATCCTATGCCAATGAGGATCTAATATCATGTGTATAGTTCCTAAGAACCTCGGGTCCAAGGCATTTTCAATAGACCAGTAATCAATTGATAAGGTTGGATTCTTTCTCCTCAATTCGTCGATACATTTAGTTAAACAAGCGTAAAGTCCCGTTTGTATCTGTTTCATAGCATCTGTCATCCGTACTTTGACCTCTGTAACAGATCTCGTTGATTCTTTAACCATCAAGCTCGACGAAACCTGAATATGGAATCTTGGCCACAATATAACTTTCTTTAACCGCATATCTCTTAACTTTTTCTGTAGAGGAGCAAATCCACTCATCAATACTTCGGGACAATCAGATACTGCCTTTATAAACCCCCATTTGTTTTTCTGTCTATATATATGAGCGATGAAACTTTCATTTGATAAGTCTGTAACACGCTCAGCGTGAAGAATGACCAGACCAGTGACCTTATCCGTATCAACTATACCTGAGAGCATATCCAATATAAAAATCGTTGAAGTGACGCTCATGATTCCACCTTTGGAATAGAGTGCCCTTCTCTTGTCTGATGTGTACAGTTCACTTTTGATGATCACATAGGGTCTTTTGTTTTCCTCCCCATCTTCGTCATCGATCCAGGATAGCTCGGTCAGTTCCTCGTCAATGGTTTCATTATCGTTATCATCAGCACTGAGAAGGATAATGAGGGCCTGTTTCCTCACATTGGCTATGGTAGCGGGGGCGCTTAAAGTGTGTAACATATTTGCCACGATGGGGCCTAATCCCAATCCTTTCCCGAGTACCAGCAGTGAATCATCGGCGATGAGGTCCTCCAGCACAAGTTGTTGGAACTTCAAAGGCAGCGTGAGGGATATGTTCACTGGGTTTGTCTGGTGAACAAGATCTTCGTCCTCTTTAGGGGGTAGTAATGGGTACTCATCTTGCTCAGCCTGCTCATCTTGGTCAACTTGCTCAGCCTGTTCAGCCTGTTCATTCTCATCACATTAGCCACCATCCACAACAGGCTCCCTGGGCAGAGTAATCACAATCTCCTCGTCGTCATCGCGATCGTCGTCTCGAACAAACAACGACATCTTCACCAACGACCTGGCCTGGAGAGCTGTGTACAACATCCATTTAAAAGATGAGACATAAACAAAAGTAGTACAAAACACCTCGGAGAAGTCGTCCGTCACGTGCACTATCCTCGGATATCTCTCACGCCACGTGACTTTCCCGGAATAAGCCACGATCACATGACTGCCCCTCGGTTCTCCGTCCCATCCCACCCGCGTGGAGGGAGCCACACACCGGTGCGGGAGGCTCAAACCCTCAACCTCGCAGCCAAAATTTGAGAGGGCCCTCTCTGGGTCAAACCGTCTGCTCTTCACAGCTTGTTGTTCACCCCAGCAAAGAAGCCAATTGAAGCTGAGCATTGCGATCACAATGTCCATTAGAGAAAAGATTGATAGCCTCAAGGAGGATGACGTGTTCATCTCGCTTGAGTTCTTCCCTCCAAAGACTGAATCGGTAAGATATAACCTGTACAGCGAGTAGAAGCGTACAAACAATGTTGGCGAAGATGGAAACTAACAGTGGGACGTATCCCTCACAGGGTATTAGGAACTTATTGGCCCGTATGGAACGTATGAGTGCGATGAACCCACTCTTCGTTACGGTGACATGGGGTGCTGGTGGCTCAACTGCTGAAAAGACGTTGTCATTGGTTCAAACCTGCCAGAGGGAGATGGACCTCACCACATGTATGCATCTCACTTGTACAAACATTGACAAGTCCATCATTGACGATGCCTTGGCCAAGGCCAAAGCAGCCGGTGTCAGAAACATCCTTGCGCTGAGAGGTGATCCTCCACGAGGCGAGGAGTACTTTGTTCCCAACAGCGCAGACTTCTCGCATGCTGTTGATCTGGTCAAGTACATCAAGAAGCAGTACGGTGATTGGTTCTGTGTTGGAGTTGCTGCGTACCCTGAGGGTCACTGCGAAGGTGCTGACTCCGCCAATCAGAGCGTTGCTAAGGACTTGCCATATCTGAAGGAGAAAGTGGACGCGGGTGCTGACTTCATCATCACCCAGCTGTTCTACGACGTTGAGAAGTTCCTAACCTTTGAGCAGATGGTTAGAAATAACATCTCCAAGGATATCCCTATCCTGCCTGGGTTGATGCCAATCAACACATACCAGTTATTCCACAGGGCTGCGAAGTTGTCCCATGCGTCAATCCCAAGATCAATCTTGGATAGGTTCCCTGAGAGCATCCAAAATGATGATGACAAGGTCAAATCTGTTGGTGTGGATATCCTCAAGGATATCATCCATGAGATTTACTCCAGAACTAATGGACGTATCAGGGGTTTCCACTTCTATACCCTCAACTTGGAAAAGGCCATTGCCCAGATTGTCGAAAAGTCAAGTCTGCTCAATGGCATGATTGAGAACGACGATGAGGATGTCATCATGGATGACGACGAGGATCACATCGCCACATTGAAAACGGCCCGTTCCAGCTCCGTCTCAAACAGAGTTCTTGTTGATAAACTCCAAAGAGACCCGGTCGATTTCCAGGATGCCTCCGATTTCAAGTTGCAAGCACCTTCGAAAAAGGCCATCTTGGCCATCTCGAGTGGTGAAGGTACTCTGGGTCGTGATGCCACGTGGGATGAGTTCCCTAATGGTCGTTTTGGTGACTCCCGTTCTCCAGCATACGGTGAAATTGACGGGTATGGACCTTCACTGAAGATCGCCACTGAGCGGGCCTATGAGCTATGGGGTTATCCTGTGGACTTGAAGGACGTTTCCAACGTTTTCGTTGGATATTTGGAAGGTAAGATCGATGCATTGCCGTGGTCTGAGTTGGGATTGAGTCCTGAAACAGCCATGATCCAGGAAGAGTTGATCCAGCTTAACGAAAGAGGCTATCTGTCTCTTGCTTCACAGCCTGCCTGTGACTCTGCAAGATCTGATGATAAGATCTTTGGATGGGGCCCAAAGGGTGGTTACGTCTACCAAAAGGCATTTGTTGAGTTATTTGTCAGTCGTGACGCCTGGCTGAATACATTGAAGCCTAAGCTCCTCTCCAATGAGAAGGCTGGCTACTATCTAGGTGATTCTAGAGGGGGATTTGAGTCGTCCCTGGACACCAAATCGTCCAATGCTGTCACATGGGGTGTTTTCCCGGATCGTGAGATCCTGCAAACCACCATCATCGAAGAAGAGTCATTCAAGGCATGGAGAGACGAGGCGTTCAGTATCTGGCTAGAATGGGCAAAGCTTTACAAGAAGAACACTCCATCGTACAAGTTGTTGCAGCAAATCCACGACGACTATCTTCTCGTGACTGTTGTCTGCCATGATTACCGTAACGAAACTGGATTATGGGATTTGCTCTTGGAATGATTTCTCTCTTGTCGCACACCCGGTGTACCTTAGCTCATGGCAGCTGTTGCAGTCGTTGACGTAGATGTTGAATGTGCTTTTTAACCAAATCAACGTTCCATTCAGTTACAACTCCACCCAGATAAGATACATCTTGCGGCTTCAGCAGTAGACAATTGTGCGACACCTCGACGCCCTTCTTAACGAGCAGTTTCGCCCCCAGCGGTATGGGGAACCCATGCTTTGTATTCTTACTGGATAGGAAGTTCAGCTTGTCCAGCTCGATCGCATAGAACAGTGCACCTTCTCCATCTTGTAGGGTCAGTTTGAACAACGACGTGGCGTTGTTTATTGAGCTCGTCACCATGGGCTCCTGTCCATTGCCGTTATCATCCTCAACGTTCATCTGCCGCACAACCCTGTTGTTTCCAAACCTGAGCCGGTCAGCGCCAACACCGCCAACCTCCTCGTTCGCCAACAGCTCATCCAGCTGATCAGCAGCACTCCTCGAACAGTTCTCCAGCGAGATTATCTGGAACAGCGTCTCGTCGTTCGTGGGGGAATAGCCCCTGTGTGCCCTCTTCGCCCTCTGTGATATAGCATTGTCAGGAAACGTCGGGCTCTTCGTGATGTCTGCCATTAAGAAGCTCATTTCTCTCTCAATCCTGTGCTATTCAATGTTGATGTTTCGGTGGAGTAAACAAGCGAAAGGAGTGAAAAAAATCAAAACATCAACAAAGACAACAAAGACAACAAAGACAACAAAGACAACGGCTAGTGAACACCAGCACTGACCGAAGAAACCACGTGACAACTCGAGAACATGATCCAGTCGCTCTTTATCCTGAACAGATCCGGCGGGCTCATTTACCAGCACGATCTGAACGATGGATTGAACAAGCTAAGCGCCAATGAACACCTCATCCTTGCCGGCACGATACATGGTGTGTTTGCCATTGCTTCAAAGTTGACTCCCACTGCGGTGAAAGTCTCTGCTCAACCGCGTGCCCAGTCCCAGGGCAGTGCAGTGAACGGTAATACCTCTGGTCTGAAGAGCATTGAAACGGATAAGTTCAGCATGTACATCTTCCAGACGTTGACTGGAGTGAAGTTTCTACTGGTTACTGATCCAGCCCAGGGCGACCTGAACAGTGGTTGTGACACCGCTGAGAACGTGCTGCGTAAGATCTACGCATTGTACGCGGACTACGTTATGAAGAACCCGTTTTACGAGATTGACATGCCCATTAGAGTGGACCTGTTTGATCGGAAAATAGCAGAGCTGGTGAAGGCTCTTTGAGGGCGCTCTTCCTGGTGGGAGGGGGGAGGGGGCTGGAAATGTATGGCAGTCGCTTACAAACGAGACTCCCTGCCTTGGGCGTACTCATTGACCTGGGTGATGTACTTCCCACGGTTAACACCTTGGAATAACTGGGTCCACAGCTGTGGAACGTTTGTGAAGTTCGGTCCAATGGCCTGGACGATATGCTCTGGAAAGTTGTTGACGTCCAAAGTTCCATCCTTGAGCCATTGAGAGATCCTATGGGCAGCTTGACCAAACTCAGCAGCGTGATCCATGACGATCATGCCCTTGATGGTGATTCTCTTCGTTATGACGTTGGCATAGTTTGTGAAACCGTCACTTGGGGAGTTATAACCTGCAACAGCTCCAACTTGCACAACGGTGCTGAAATCACTCATGTACAGGATGGCGTTGTTCAAGATCCATCCCCCAACGTGATCAATCAATACATCAATCTCTGATTTGTCCGCGTTCAGCAGCTTGAACAAGTCCTTCTTGTAGCCTGGATCCTTGTAGTCCAGGCATTTGACTCTGGAACCTAAAGTTTCAACCCATTGGCACTTGTCTTTACCACCAGCAACGGCAATAACCAGCTTTGGATTCAGAACTTTGGAGATGAATTGAACACAGCTGGACCCTGCTGCCCCTGCTGCCCCTGTAACCATCCATACTCTGTTCTGTACCTGTGGAGCGTAGTGGAAGACGGTGAAATACGCAGTCATCGTAGTACCACCAAACAGGCTAAGGTACTTGGCTAGAGGAACCTTGTGAGGGTCGACAATATGGCACTTTTCCTTTTGAGTGTCTAAAATACGATAATCACACCAGCCTGTAAACGTTTCAACATAGCAACCTTTGGGGAACCGTGGGTTCTTTGAAGCCAACACACGGGCAATCCCATCAGCTGGTGCAATCTCGCCCAGTGGAGTCACTGCCTTGTACGACTTATAGGGGGTGAACCATCCCTTCTGCGCAGGGTCGTTGGAGAGGTATATCACCTGGATGAATATCTCACCATGTCTCAACAGCTCGTCATCAGAGACGTCGTATTCCTTGGTTATGAGCTTGAAGTTCGAGTCCTCCGTGTCGTCAAACACAATTGGCCTGTCAAAGTCGGTGTACTTGGTCAGCAGGATCTGCTGTGCTTTAATCATTTTCGCTAGATGTATGACTCCTCTGCCGTAGCTGAGAAGTGTGAAGGTCCTTTGAAGGGCCATCGGCCTTATTTATAACTCCGTGGGGACTAGTTTGTGGGGTTGATGGGGTAGATCAAATACCCGAGGATTAAATCGAAAAAAGCCCTCTACATAGATATCATGACGCCTGGATCGTATTACTGAATAGCTTCTCTTATACACAAGCTTATGGATAAGCTGCTACCTGTGTGATGTATTTTCCCTTGTTGCTTCCAGAGAACAACCCGGTCCAAATCTCGGGAATCTTCTCGAACTTGTCACCTTGAGCATCAACAATGGTCTCCTGGAAGTTGTTGATGTTGAGCTTCCCAGAGGTGAACCAATTGACCAGCTGTCCGATAGCGCTTGGTGCCTCCTTGAGATCATCGATGAGGACCATCCCTTGGATGGTCAATCTTTTGGTGATGACTTGTGAGTAGTTGTTGAAGACGTTATCTGCTGCATCACCACCGTTATAACGTGAAATGGCACCAACTTGAACAATCTTTCCGTGGACAGCCATGTGGCCAGTGGCATGGTCCAGGATCCATCCACCAACGTGGTCGACAAAGACGTTGACTCTGTCGTCACCCAATGCTTTGGTGAAGTCTTCTTTGTATGTCTCGGACTTGTAGTCCAGGCCAACAATGTTTGGACCCAAAGTTTCAACCCATTTACGCTTGGTTTCGCCTCCTGCAACGGCAAGAATCTTCTTCGGTTTATAAATGTTGGCGACGATCTGTAACAAGGAAGAGCCAGCAGCACCAGCAGCACCTGTGATCAACCACACTTTACCTTCATCCTCTGGCGACACACCAGAATACTTTGTTGCGGTGAAATAAGCGGTCAACGTCGTGGTACCAAAGGCACTGATGTACTTAACCAGATGTGGAACTTTAGAAACGTCCAGCTTGATGGTCAATGGGGTAGGCTCCAAGATGTTATGAGTTGCCCAGCCCACTGGACCGTTAATGTAATCACCAACCGCAAATTGCTCACTGTTAGAGGCAATGACACGGCCAATACCTCTTGCAGGTGCTACCGTCCCCAATGGCACCGGAGGGATGTACGATTCGTAAGGTGTGAACCAGCCCTTTTGAGCAGGATCGTTCGATAAGTATATGGTTTCCACGAGGAACTTGCCAGCTTCTAAAGTCGCATCGGTATCGTACTCCTTTGTCACCAATTTGAAAGTGGCATCTGGAGAACTGTAGTCCAGATTCACAGGCCCTTGGAAATTGGCATAGTTCTGCAAGATGTACTGCTTGGCTGTAATTTTGGTCATGATTGTGCTTTGTTGATAATCCACTGATTGGGGTTGCTTGAAGGATCAACTTGTGGTTAGAACGAAGAGAACAAGGAAGGATTCAAACGTCACCAAGCATTTTATACACAACTGCCAGTGTCGAACATACCGAGGGAAATCGCTATGGCTCCTCATCTTATTAGTAATTCGTCATCGCTCCAATGTCCGCAATTTCCGACTAAGTCCGCCTTAAGTCCGGCGTGGATGGGCGTCCTACATCATGGTTAGCTTGGAATTTGTAAGATAACACGGCATTGAACTGTTGATTACGAATGGATGCATTCAAAGCACATCTCATTGTCCATGGACTTATATCTCTGCCCCCCCCCCCGATTCGAACTCAACCATTGATGGTTGTGTATCCTGAGCAACAAAATGGGAGTTTTCCGCTTCCCTCGAAAACCCACATCCGGTTTGCTGTACTGTTCCAAATTCCACTGATATATAAGCTGTCGGATAAATCGGTCGTCAGTGTAGGCGAAGGGCTGTGTAGTGAGTAGCTGTTTGAATCGTACAACTTTTTTGTGTCAACGTCCTGATTTCTGCAATGACGTCTTCGTCGTAAGACGCGTGGGATCTACGAGTTGGTGAGGTTCAGAGCCGAGCAGCTTGAGAGCCAAGCAGCTTGAGAGCCAAGGAGCTCCAACAGGATCGAGGGGATAGGAGGGCGGCGATCTTTCTGCATACGGCCACTGGCCAACAAATGAGATGGTCGTGGAGATCACTTGTGGTAGCTCCAGGGCTACTACTTTTGGACGAGGACACTGGAGAGTGGTCCTAGTCGTCTAGTGGAGGTAGCTCTGTCAGGGCTACGCTTTTCGCGTGAATCCAGCTCTGGTTGTTCACCACGTGCTTTTTTGTATGCAATTGTGATACCTTGGGGCCCTGGAAAGCAATCTCTTGAACGGTAGCAGAGGGCCAGAGAGAGCATCAACGGGTTCCCCTACGTTGCTCAGACACCGAATCTAGGACTACCTATTACGTAATGACGGATCCATACTGCCGCATTCGAATCTCGGGGTGACTCAACAAGGGGTATACACTGTAGAGGAAACTCAAAGGCCCAACGCCACAGCGATAGGTCTTTGGGCCAAGTACATCGTTTAATTTCGCCATCGATGGACACCTCATCGTGGGCTTTTCTTTTTTCCGTGAGGCCGTAGGTTGCCCGGAATCCTGATTCTGCAGTTGAACGAGAGGGCAAACGAAAAAATCAGCTGTCGTCTGCAAACTAAAAAAAGGTCACTGCCTGAAAACAGTAACTCAAAGCCCAACAAACAACCGTGGTTCAGAGCCCACTATGTGTAGAAATAACATAGCTGTTGCTGTGTGCGTGTACGACAGCGGTGGGCGTGTATTGCTGACCGTGGCCTAATGTGAGGAGTCCCCTTATTCGGAAACAACCACCTTACATTGTCTCAACATAGTCTTTTACTGTCGCACTGGCGCTCATTAGGCAGGTTGTTTCTATAAATTGTGAACGCACAAGCATTGACGCAATGTACTGGAAAGGCTCCTTAACAAGAATAGCTTCGACTTTTACTGTCGCCGTAACTCCTGACTGAATATCGTGTGGCAGCCCCTTGGACCCAAGTGAAAAATTTTTCCGTTGCCAATTAGCCCTCCCTGTGCCAACAAGGCAGACCGGGACCCCCCAAAAGTTGCCTTGGAACCTGGTGACAACTTTTCCTGTCTAAGGAAAAAAAGAGCATATGCAACAGAAGAAAAACCACACCACACCTGGGAGTTTGAGATCCAAAGCGCTGCACGTTTGTACGTCAGTCCATAAAAACCGTGAAACCAGGAAAACGTAACCATACGAGCCCTCGTGAGATTTTATATATAGAGCCCAAGAGATCGTATTGTCTCATCTGTTTATTGTGTTTATCTGCTTGTTTACATCCCGTACACATATACATAGTTGTTGCTTTACTATACAATTATAGATTACAGCTAGTGTCAAGGACACCCAACAATAGTACAACATGACACACACGGACATAACAGGCTCGCTCATAAACGAGTACAGAATCGTCAAGCTCATAGGGTCTGGTGCATACGGGCTCGTGTACCAGGCACAGAACACCGTGACCGGCCAACAGGTGGCTATCAAATGTATCTCCAAGAAGAGCAATCCAAGTGTGAAGAAACAGAGCGACTACCTCACGACGTTGTTGGCGGAACACCTCTTGGAGAGGGACTTCTCGCTACAGGGTCTTCGCGAAATGAGTCTAAAGAGACTAAGCATGGCAGACAACATACCATGTCCCTTCGTCAGAGAGATCAGTATCCACTTGCAAGTCCACCAGCACCCAAATGTCATCTCGATCCACAAGATCTTGGACTCTCAAGTTGCGGTCTTTGTCGTGATGGATTACTACCCAGAAGGCGATCTCTTTGTCAACATTGTCGATAGACAGGTATATGCACGTTCGTCCGGGCTGATAAAGGATGTCTTCATCCAGCTTATAGACGTCATCTCGTACTGTCACTCGAAGGGGATTTACCACTGTGACATCAAGCCAGAGAATATCATGTGTGCAAATAAGGGTTCAAAGGTTGTCATTGGAGATTTTGGGCTTGCAGTCAAGTCCAAGTACATTCAGTCAAAGACATGCATTGGTTCGAGCTATTACATGGCCCCAGAACGTCTGTGTACTATGAACCATTCTTTGACAAGATTGGAATACCCTGCTTGCAAGGGAGATATCTGGTCTCTAGGAGTGATCCTCATCAACTTTTGTTGCACAAGAAACCCTTGGATGAAAGCATGCGA